TCAGCCTCCTGAGCAGTTAGGATCACAGGCATGAGCCACTAGCAAACAGTGAAAAATAAATGTTTGACTCTTGCCAAGCACTTTCATGTAACCAGAACACAGTATCAATATTGGCACAATCCTATGATACTCCTTGTTGGCATTTTCAAAAAAAAAAAAAAAACAACTTTCCTTCTAAGTTTGCCTTAATTATCCTGCTAAAGGAAAACAAAAGCCTCAATGTTAAACAAATAAGACGACCTGGATGCCAAGATATAAACACACTAAACAGATTTTTTTTTTCTTCTAAAAACTTAATTTTCTGAAGGCAAATGGTCTTTATAAATTCCTTCTTCTGTGGCTGCCACTTTCCCTAAACCACAGAGCTTCCTGACTTCCAGCAGGGCCAGGCCAGATTATGGTTATGTGGTAGGTTTTGTAAGGCAAGCTTCTGACAAGGCCTCAAAAATAGATCGTGGGCACCAGCCAGGGAAACTGCCACTCACAGTTACAGCTTCATCATACTTGAGCCTGTCAGCATTTATTTTTTCTAGTCTCTCATTTCAAAAGAAAGAAGAATCCCAAACCTCCTCTCGGCCATGATGAATCTCTGTAACATCAAAATTAAAATTTAGTGGCTCATGCTCATAGCACTATGTGCTATATAGCCCAAACTGGCCTTGAATTCTCTATCCTAATGCCTCCCAAGTACTGGGATTACAGCTATATACCTCCACATCCAACTCACAATATTTTTAATAAAAAGATGAATAGACAGACAAAAATAAGTGGGGACACAATGGCTTACATTTGCAATCCTAGCTGGATGGGAAGGTAAAATTGGGAGGATTGTGGTTTGGGGCCAGTTCAGACAGAAACTTGTCATCTCAACCAATAAAAATATGGTGTGGTGGTACAAACCTGTCATTTTAGCTACACAAGATGTAAAAATGAGAGGATCAAGGTCTAAACTGGCCCAGGCAAAAAGGAGATCCCTACTTGGAAAAAAAAAAACTAAGGCAATTAAGCTGAGAAGGAGAGCTCAAATGAGAGAGCACCTGGCTAGGAGGCACAGGCTGAGGTCAAAGCCAGTATTATAAACAAATAAACAAACAAATAAACAAATAAATAGAATTTATTGTTATATAAGCCTAAGAAAGTTAGCTTCTATTATAAAATAAAGTTCTTTATAGAACTGAAATAAATCTTTATACTTAACTTATATTCCATCTGAGTCACATATTCAAAAACCAACTCCAGGCTGGTCATTGGTGGCTCATGCCTATAATCCTAGCTATTCAGGAGGCTGAGAAAGTAGCCCAAGCAGGAAAGTCTATGACCCTCTTATCTCCAATTCAGCACCACAAAAGCTCCAAGTGGAGCTGTGACTCAAGTGGTAGAGTGCTAGCTTTAAGCAAAAAAAGGTCAAGGACAGCACCTAGGCCCTGAGTCAAGCCCCAGGACCAGTGCATACACACATACACACATACACACACACACACACACTCCATATACATTCTTATAAACTACTGTAGACAAGTTTTGTATTCAATGCAAACAGTATTTGCAGAAAGCTGGAAATAATCTAAATGTCTGTTAATACAGAATGGTAGATCATGAAAAATAAATATTCTACACCAGGTAGAATATCCAGAATGTTTAAAAAAAAACAAACACTAATAATAGAAATATCTCTCAGAGGCTCAAGCCTGTAATCCTAGGTACTTTGGAGGCTGAGATCTAAAGACAGCCAAGGCAAAAAGTTGAGGAGACTCCAATTAACTAGCAACTCCAGCTAGGCTAGTGTCTAAGTAGTAGCATCTGGGCTGGAGGCATTGCTAAAGTGATACAGGCCAGCCCAGAACAAATAAGTCAACCTAACACTCAACATACTGAGTTCAAATCCTAGAACCAACAACAACAACAAAAAAAGAATGAGCCGGGCACCGGTGGCGCACGCCTGTAATCCTAGCTACTCAGGAGGCAGAGATCTGAGAATCAAGGTTCAAAGCCAGACCGCGCAGCCAAGTCCGAGAGACTCTTATCTCCAATAAACCAATAGAAAACCGGAAGAGGCGCTGTGGCTCAGGTGGTAGAGTGCTCGCCTTGAGCTGAAGAGCGCTCGCCTTGAGCTGAAGAGCGCAGGGACAGCACCCAAACCGAGTTCAAGCCCCATGATCGACCAAAAAAAAATAAAATAAAATAAAAAATAAAATAAATAAAAAAGAATGAAAGGTAAGGGATACTTCTAAACATATACGACCGTACAATAACTGGAGAAAGATACACAAGAAATAATAATGATTGACTGAATTAGGAGCTGGGGGTAAAGAAAGCTACAAGTTTGTGATGGAAAGATCTTTCTTCATATATTATTCTCTTTTTCAGTGCTTTAACATCTTAAAATGTCCCACAACAGTATGTTCTCAAATAAAATAAAATTAAATTTAAAAAAAAAAAAAAATGTCCCACAAATACCAGACACTAGTGGCTCATGCTTGAATCCTAGCTATTCAATAGGAAGCTGAGATCTAAGGATCATGGTTCAAAATCAGCCTGGGTAGGAAAGTCCATGAGACTCTTACCTCCAATTAACCACCAGAAAACTAGAAATGGAGCTGTAGCTCTAAGTGGTAGAGCACCAGCCTTGAACAAAAGAGCTCAGGGATAGTGCCCTGGCCCTGAGTTCAAACCCTACAACTAACCAAAAAAAAAAAAAAAAGTCTCACAAATATCTATTGAAAACAGCATATGATGAACTCAGTTTTTAGTCTAATGTCTGACTCCTTCCAAATCTAGTTTAATTCATTGTAGGCAAAAGGTTTAAAAGTCAAAATGCAAAGGACCATGCCAAGACAAAAAAAAAGAATCTCCAAAATATTTCTTCACAAAGATGTGAGGGTGATCCAGCTGTGACATCTGTAACCCTCTTGACCACCACCAAAGTTGATTCAGCTGATCTGGCTGGCTAAGTGGGTGTCCTCTCACCATTCGACATATGTCCCTCCTAAAACTGCAAACTCAGTAAAAAAGAACAACCTTCTCAAATAGTGGAGAATGGTTCTTTAAAGTTCTTAGAAGAGCTGTGTTCCTTGGCTAGACCCTCCAAACAGTGCTCAAAGTCCAAAGATATCTAGCTATTGTCTTAGAAGGAAAAATGAAGTACTAAATTATTTTACTCTCAAGTTAAATTTTGCTCAATTCTTTTGAAATTTTAAATACTGGGTTTTAAATAAAGGTTATTGGCAAACTGGATAAGGTAGTACATTTCCCCAGTTATGATCATTTCTTTTTTCAGATTCTCCAGAGAGAAAGCAACTACCTAAAAGGAAAAGACTATGAAATGGCCTCTATTTTGTAGGTACAATGGATAGTGCTCCTTAGATAAAAAGAAAAAGAAAAATTTTCTTTTCTTTTAAGTTAATCTTCATCAACATTCCCAAAAGGCAGCAAGGAGAACTTTTTTTTTCTTATACCTCATCAACTCTGTTTTTTCACTCTTAGAAACAAGGTAAACAATTCACCTACAGCGTTGCAAGAAATTGCTTCCTCTCCTACTAAATTCATTTCTAGTAAAAAACTTGTTTTTGCTTGTGAAGAGATACTGTGCCAAATATATTTTCTGCATCTCTTTTTTTCTTTGTATGGAAATGATTAAGTGCTGGCCTAAGGTTTCCCTTTCATATTTACCTATTAAGACTATTAGTCATGGTGTTTTCCATACAGGATTTTCCAAAAGGGATCTCTGTTCACAGAAAACTAAACCTCAAGTTTCTTTTTTTTGTTCCCCTCTCTGATCGTGAGGTTTGAACTCTGGGCCTGGGTGCTGTCCCTCAGCTCTTCAGCTCAAGGCTAGCACTCTACCACTTGAGCCACAGCGCCACTTCCAGTCTTCTGGTGGTTCATTGGAGATTAGAATCTCACCGACTTTCCTGCCAGGGCTGGCTTTGAACGGAGATCCTCAGATCTCAGCTTCCTGAGTAGCTAGAATTATAGGCATGAGCCACAAGTGCCTGGATCAAGTTACTTAAGTTTCCTATCAGGGGGACTAAAATCAAAAGAAACATTAAGGAACACTCTGAATATTAAAGCGGATATGCAGGGCTGCAAATGTGGCTTAGTGGTGGAGTGCTTGCCTAGCATGCAAAAGCCCCAGGTTCGATTCCTCAATACCACATAAACAGAAAAAGCTGGAAGTGGTGCTGTGGCTCAAGAGGTAGAGCACTAGCTTTGAGCTGAAGAGCGCAGGGAAAGCACTCAGGTCCAGAGTTCAAGTGCCACAACCAACTTTAAAAAAAAAAAAAAAAGGGAATATGCAAAGTAAAAAAAAAGAAATCCCAAAATTTAGTCAAAGAATCAAAGGAATATCATAAGCAAGATATATAGGATAAATTTGCTATCATTTTTTAATTAACCAACTAAAGTGCTTTATGACTATAAATCAAGATAAAACAAGCTAGATACTGAAAGAAAAAAATCAAACTGAGTATAAAGAACTCTGTTGCAACGTCATTTTGCCTAGCATTTTGAAAGCCAAAAGTGATCGAATTATATTTTAGCAATAAAAAAAATCATTACTAGCTTAAAATTAGCCCATTGCAAAAGTAAATCATAACCTCCATAGAAGTATCATTCCATTTGAACTTGAGGTCTTTACACTTGCTAGGCAGGTGTTCTACTACTTGAGCCACACCAGAAACTTTTTTTTTTCAACTTTTTCTAAAAGGGTTTCAAATGTAGGCTCAGGCCCACCTGGACCATGATCCTGCTATTTATGCTTCCCACATAGCTGGGACAACAGGTGCATACCACAGTACCCAGCTTTTACTGTCTGAGATGGAGTCTTGGGAATTTTTGGTCTAGACTGGCCTTGAACTGCAATCCCAGCCTCCCAAGAAGCTAGAATTACAGACTGGCATTTTCTACCTCTCCCAACCTCATTCTACATTTTTAAGGATAGACAGGCAAAATTCTGAAGACTATTTTTATAGGACCAATTCTTTCAGTAAGCTTTTTCATACCTTAGTGATGGTAGTTCTCCTTTTCCACTGACATTTATTTTGCTTCTAATCTCCAACATCTAGTAACAAAAAGGGGTGGTTAAAATCACAACAATCCACTTGTAACTATTATAAATCCAATCAGTATTAAAATTGCCAATTTTTATTTCTTTACCATACTTAACCTTCAAGCAACAAATACAACAAAACTTGCACCACTTCTATGAGTATGGGCATTTAATTATACAGACAGAAACAGCTTTCATTACCACAGTTTTAAAGATCCAAATCAATGATTCACAAAGTGAATGATCTAACTTCCTAAATGAATCACACTTTCCAAATTTCTTACTTTGTATAACACTAGGTCATCATCTCTGTATTTGTTAAAATAAGCATGATGTTGATTAAATAGGTAGAATTCTTCAATACTTGAGTCTAGGTAGAGTAAACTCTACCTGCCACACATTGCTTTCTCAAAAAAAAAAAAAAATTGCACGTCCCCATTCAAATATATAAGACGTTACATTGAAAAGAATACTAAACACAATTTAAGAATTTACTTATCTATACCTTGCTCTCCATCTCCTCATCCTATATTACATCTCTTCCCACTCTAGCCACTCTGTTTCTTTACATAGTGTCATAAGTCAATCAATCTACACTTTTTCTGTTTATGACAGAAACGCTGAGTCACTAAATGGGAAGAAAAGCAAAGAAAGGGAATTATACAAACAGATAAAAGTGCAGGATAGAGAGTGTTACCCTAACCAGGGTCTTAGCAAGATGATATGTGCATCTCCTAGATGGACATCAAATAAAGCAAACTTTTTTTCCCCTCGGGTCCTCCTTAGATCCTCCTGTTTCCTGCTGGGTACACAGAGCAAAGGGAGAGCAGGCCTGACAAGGGTGGGAATAAAGCTCCGTGTTAGTCAAGGATGAACCCGACCTTCCAAGCAAGCGGGTGAAGCCCGCGCTTCAGTTTGGGTGCAGAAGGCAGCGAGACCGGGGGACGAGGGGGGAAGGATTCCCCAGCTACTCCTTCCAAGGGTCTCACTCTATCCCCCGGGGTGCTCCTCCCAAACCCAAGGAGGGTGCTGCCAGGAATACCGCGAGACTCGGGGACCGAGGGACAACTAGGTGCCCCACAACGGGAGCAACACCTTCCCCTGGGCGGAGGACGAGTGCGGACAGAAGAGGTCCGAGAATGCAGCAGGCCGAGGCGACCCGGGCCAGGAGTCCGCCGGGGGGTCGGGGGAGGGGGGGGTCCGGCTCGGGGCAACCCCAGCGCAGCCAGGTCGGAGACCGCAGGGGTCTCCCGGACCGCGCAAGCTGAGCCAAGGCCCCAGTTCCCGACTCCCGCCGGCAGACCGAGGCGCGGCCCTCACCTGTCTCTGAGGCGGTCGGTGGCAGCAGCGCCGCCCGGGAAGGGCCGGCCCGCCGCCGGCCCGCCGGGAGGGGAAGCTTCGGAAGAGGGAAGAGGGGCGCGGCGTCGGGCAGACGCGGTTCCAGGCCGCCAACCAGGGGGTGCTGAATGGAGACAGTGAGTCCCCGCACCCTCAGAGGGCTAGTCAGTCACACCGGTATGCTCTCCGCGGCGCGGGCGAGACCGCACAAACGCTACCCGGGATGAGCCTCAGTCCGGGCGGCGGCGGCACAGGGGCGGAGGGTGAGGGGGCGGGGCTCCGGGCCGGTGACCCCTCACCCGGAAGCAGTTGTGGCCGCCGGCGGGGCTGCCGCGCGAGCTGCGGCCGCACTCTGGCGGGCTTCCCTGCGAGACGTTCGGCCAGGCTTGCCCTACCCCGGCTAGCCCGAGACGGCCAGCTCCGGCGCTCGGACCCGCCTCGCGCTTCCTTTCCTGGTCGAGCAGGAACGGTGAGTTCCGTGCGCGAGGCCTTGGTGGCTTCGCCCGCAGCGGGGTCTGGGAGCCGTCCTGCGGGTGGTCTTGGGTGAGTGGGCCAGGGTTCGCGCCGGCTGTGGGGGAAAAGGTGAGCCCGAGTGAGTCGCCCCAAGTCGGACCTTGGAAGTGACTTCCTGGGGATACTTGGGTGGGACGAAAGGGTTTTATCTGGCAGGTGGTCGCGCACAGTGGAATCCCCGCCACTCGGCAGGGTGAGTCAGGGGGATCGCCAGAGCCCCAGGGTTCCAAGCCTGCACAACACAGACACCAGTCTCAAACTTTAATTTAAATTAAAAAAAAATTAAAGACCGATGGGCAGTATCATCCCAAAGTATCTGTCCCAGACCCACCAGGTTCGAGGCGCTGGAAAATTCTAAAGCCTGCTCTTCCCAAGCTGCCTTGCCTTCTTAAGTGCGGTAGATGGACTCAAATAGACACCAGGTAATGAAAGATTGAAGTAAGGCTCTACAGGAAACAGTGGTAGATACGTATTTTGTAGGCTAGACCTCAAAACTGCATAACAAGGCTAGAGAAGACTAATGAGAGAAAATTAAGCAGCCTCTTGAGAAAAACGCACAAGATGCACTTAAACGCAATTCCATATACAGACTGTAGGTTCCGGAAACCTCTGATGAAGCCCACAGATTCCACGTTAAGATCCTATCTTTAAAGTCCTCTATGGTAGTTAGCACGATGCACACACCCTCTAAGATATCAAAGACGTGCTCGACATTACTAGTTCATGGAAAGCGGTGATTTGGCACTAGTACTGGTTGTTCAAGAGACAAGAAGTATACTCATCAGCCTTAAGAGACATTCTTTAACATTTCACTATATCTCTGCCTGTATCACTGTTTTTTCCTGGACCCAGAGTAAACATTAACACTTTTACTTGAGCCCAGGAAAAGCTTGATCTTCCTAACGGATTATACGGTGTTATGCTCTGAAGACAAGAATTAACGACATATTCTGCTCAATCACCTCAAGACAAAATTAAAGACCTATTTGAAGAGAGGATCTGTTTAGCTATTTATGTGGTGCCTGAATTATGCTAGTAAACCCAATGGTTATTATATACTAATTGTTTAATATGTAAGATTATCTGAAAAATACTAGACTCTCTTGCCCTTTTCAGTTTACTACTTAACTAAATTATTTTGGCTCATGCAGCCAAACATATTTTGCAGTATTTATTTGGGGTGGGGGGAATGTAAGGAAACTAACAGTTATTATCTACTTTTTACACAGCAGATATTATTAGACATACCAGATATTATTATGCCCATTTACCTGAAAAAGGCATTGAAGTTCATGAAGAGTGTGACCTGCCCAAGGTAATAAAACTAGTAGCTGGAGAAACTAAAACCTGACCTCAGATTTTTCTGACCCTGCATTCTACATTTTGTTAATACTAGGCTGCTTTACTTTTTTTTTTTTTTCTTTTTTGAGAATGGGGCTCAGGCTGGCTCAAAGTGAGCTCAAATAACCATCATGCCTCAGCCTAGTGTTGAAACTATACACAAGACCCACTACACCCAGCTTCCTTTGATATTTCAAGAAAAGTATAGGTGAAGTGTCCAGTATCCAACCAAGCCAATTTCTATATTGGCTTTTGGGTTTTTAGTATGAAGATATACTTTAACACAGAGCAGTATAGAACCATTTTAGAACTCTGAATTTTAACTTCCTCTCATAATTTGCCATCTCTTTGGGGGTGGGGAGGAACTATTCCACTTGTCCATAATGTCATAGGTGATTTGAATGCTGCCAAGAATGTTGCAAAGTATGTCATGACATTTGTCATTACAAAGAGTTCCTAACTTAAGATGTCACCCTGATAGCTGGGCGCCGGTGGCTCAGCCTGTAATCCTAGCTACTCAGGAGGCTGAGATCTGAGGATCGAGCTTCAAAGCCTGCCCAGACAGGAAAGTCCGTGAGACTCTTATCTCCAATAAAACCACTAGAAAACCAGAAATGGCACTGTGGCTCAAGCGATAGAGTGCTCGACTTGAGCTGAAGAGGGCAGGGACAGCACCCAAGCTCAGAGTTCAAGCCCCATGGCCAAAAAAAAAAAAAAGATGTCACCCTGACTTATCTTGTGAGCAATCTTTCCCTGCTTATTAAAAGTTTCTTCTTGTCAAAAATTTGTGTTCTCAGATCTTTATGGAATATTCTGACACGTGGATGCCCCCAGGTCTGTGCATTGGCAACTCTGGGGACATATTAATAGCTGAACGAAAATTTTGTAAATATTTACTCAGGGAAATGAGGTAAATTTCTACATCTTTGGTCTTTTCATAACAAATCTTTCATAGTTTAATGGTATTAATAAATAAAAAAATTCTTAATAGCTAAGACTCATTGCTTTGGTTTATACAAAATCCAGTTGTTTTTGTTTCATTTTCTACAGATCTCTGGAAATATTAGTTCAACCATTTAAAATAGGCTATTACTTTCCAGTCAAATAGTTTTATTAGTAATGGGGTGGTGTGTGTGTGTGTGTGTGTGTGTGTGTGTGTGTGTGTGTGTGTGATGTTAGCATTTTTTAAATTTTTGGTTAACTTTCAAACCTATAGAAATGTGCCCATGTAGAATAAGTATATATGTGTATGAATATATGTTATGCACATATAATTGCATTAGGCTACATATATATTTATTTTATATTATACACATGATGTGTTAAATATATTGTAATATATGTTATTTTTCTTCTCCTGTATTATCAATCACTTGCTTTTTGCATTAGGCTACATATATATTTATTTTATATTATGCATATGATGTGTTAAATATATTGTAATATATTATTTTTCTTCTGTATTATCAATCACTTGCTTTTACTGATTGCTATCATTTTACTTATAATGAATAATTAAAACTAGGAAATTAGCGAGACTCTAGTTACTTGCAGCTATACTCCTAGCTATTCAGGAAACTGAGATCTGAGACTCTTAATTTGGATCCAGCTCAGGCCAGATAAATCCTCAAGACTTACCTCCAATTAACCAGCAAAAAGCTGGAAGTGGAGGCATGGCTTAAGTGGTAGAGTGTCAATCTGGAGCAAAACAGATAAAGAAAAGCCAGAAGTCCTAAGCCCCAGTAGGGAAAAGAGCACTCTACCACTGAGCCGCCTTCCCAGCCCTGTATGCCAGAGTCTTAAGTGCTAGGGATTTAATGGGAAAAAATTAGAGAGCTGGGGGGTTCATTTTGTTTTATGAGATTGTCTGGTTAGGGAGACAGTCACAAAAAAATAATTTCATGATCCAAAAAGTATTACTGATGATACCAAAGTTCTACCATAAAAGCACAAAATATATGAGACCTAACCTAATACAGGTACCAAGATTAAAAAATGGCTGAGCACTGGTAGCTCATGCCTATAATCCTAGCTACTCAGGTGGCTAAGGTCTGAGGATTGCAGTTTAAAGCCAGCCAGGCAGGAAAGTCCCAGAAATGAAAGAAAAGCAAGGCAAAGCATATACAGACCTTGAGATGGAACTAACAGAATCCTAGGGACTGAAACAAGAAGGAACTATGAGATAAGTCTAAAGAGCTAAATCAAAACCACCAAGCATGGTGTTAGAGGCTGTGGTAAGGATTTTTTTTTTCTTGCCAGTCAGCTGGGGCTTGAACTAAGGGTCTAGGCACTGTCCTTGAGCTTCTGTATTCAAGGCTAGCACTCTGCCACTTTGAGCCACAGCTCCATTTCTGGTGTTTTGGTTGTTCTCACACAGAGTTTCTTGCCTTGGATGGCTTTGAAACATGATCCCCAAGTATCAGCCTCCTGAGGATTACAAGCCAGAGCCAGCAGCACCCAGCTAAGATTCTTAACTTATGAAAATAATGCAAATCAACAATTTAAGAGTTTTAAACGAGTGATCTGGCCAGATGTGTGTTTCAAAATATCACTGGCTTCAGTGCAAAGAATTCAGTTTTTAAATATTTACTGAGGACCTACTATGGAACAAGTTCTGTTCTTAACACATTAGTATACAATGAATTTCTTACTTTTGAAGCATCAGTGTACAGATGCTATAGGAAGTGTACATAATAGTACTAAAAAGAAAGTTGGAACAGCATAAGAATGAAAGTGGAGTGGGCTTGCTATTGTGTTTTTTTGGGGGGAGAGGTTTGTTTTGGGGTTTTTTTTTGTTGGTTGTGGGGCTTGAACTCTGGGCCTGGGTGCTGTCCCTGCTTTCTTCAGCTCAAGGCAAGCGCTCTACCTCTTGAGCCACAGTGCCACTTCCGGTTTTATAGTGGTTTTATTGAAGATCAGGGTCTCATGGACTTTTCTGCCTGGGCTGGCTTAGAACCACAATCCTCAGATCTCAGCCTCCTGAATAGCTAGGATTACAGGTGTGAGCCACCAGAGCCCAGCTTTGGGCTTGCTATTTCATTAGCTTGATTAACATGAAATTACTTATTTTTTGTTTGTTTTTGAAACAAGGTCTCACTGTGTTGCCCCAACTGATCTCAAATACCTGGGCTTAAGTAATCCTTCTGCCTCAGCTTCCCAAGTAGTTGGGACTACAGGTGCATGTCACTGTGCCCAGCTTATTTATGACATTAGATTTATATTATTGAACTCATTGCATGACATGAGGTCACATAACACGTACTACTTACTACTTAGAAGAGTCATAGAAGACCCCTAGGGAGGTGATTTAAAGAAAGAAGACATGATTACCAGGAGGAAGAGTATCCCAAACACAGCAACAGCAAGTGTGAAGGCCCT